TTAGAGGGGTCGCGACACAGGGAAGGGCCTGGTGGCGACTATGGGCACCCCGGGGTGCCAGGACTCCCAGCAGCACAGCCACCCCGCAGGGACTAGGGGTGCTGGCACGGAGGGGTGGTGGGCGCACGGGCAAACACACTGACCCCCCGGCTCAGCTGGAGCAGGGGGACAGGCTGGACACATGGATGTTAGCAGAGCTGGGGGGGTGTCCCCCCGAAAATGTGGGCATGGCCCAGGGTGGGATGGCCAGGCACCCACTGGGGCAGCTCAGCACCCCAGCACACACGGGTGGCTGCGCCCTCTGCCCGCCGGCAGCCCGGGGGTGCCCGGGGCCCCACTCACCAGCTGGACACGGGTGGTGTGGCAGTTCCTGCGCGCAGGGCCCTGCTCCAGCACATTGGGGGCTCCCGGCTGCAACGAGAGCATCGCGCTGGGGGCTGGCGGGACGCCCCGCGCCCCAGCGCCCCGCTCCCCAGGCCGGGGCCGTGCGTGGTGCAGTGCCCTGGCCCTCCCCACCTGCCCAGGGCTGCACCCACCAGCCTGGCACCCCTTGTCCCTCCGCCGCCCATCCTCACCGGGGGCCGGTTGACGAGCCAGTACGCCTGCTCCTGGCAGTCGATGACGATGCGGTCACCCTTCCGCCGCTGCTTGGCCGCCCTGCCCGTGCAAAGGCAGCGGGGAGGCGCTGGCACCCTGCCTGCCCCAGCACCCAAGGGTGCTCTGTCCCCCGTGGCTCCCCAGGGTGCAGCAGTGCCGGGCTGTGGCCGCACTCACCGGAGCTGCTCCCGCGCCTGCATCACCACGAAGTCCCACGTGTGGTTGATCCGCTTGTGCAGGAGGTTGTAGTTGTCCTGGGGAGCGACAGTGTCACCCCTGTGGGCATGGCGTGACACCCATCCCCACGCCTGGCTCCAGGTCCCAGCGCCGCTCCAGCACAGGCAGAGCCGGTGCCACCCTGCAGGTGAGCCCCTGCTCCTGGGTGAGCTGAGACCCCCCAGCTCATCACAGGCGTGAGGAGGGCACCGCTCACCTTCTCGTGCTCGATCAGGTCACCCTGCTTGCGGATGTTCTTCTTGGCCAGGTAAATGGCTGCAAGAGGAGGGGTGGCACCTCAGGGGAGCCGGGAAGGGGCTGCAGCCCATGCCGGTGCTGGCAGCACGGTGGTACCTACCGTAGTCCAGTTCCGTGGCCGGCCACTTGGTGCTGGTCCAGAAATAGGGGGTCTGCGGGGAGGGGGAAGAGGCTGAGGCACAGAGACGTGGGGTGCCGCGGTGCCGAGCCGGGGGAGCCCCGAGGCTGCGGCAGCACCTGTGCCGCCGGCAGGGCCATACCTGGAAGCGGTAGGGTGACTCGTCTGCCCGCAGCACCAGGCTGCGGGGGTCTTTGAGGGGGTAGATGTAGCCGTGCTTCACGATGAGGTTGCCGAGGTGCAGAGACTCTGGGGGAGCGGGAGCAGGGGCTGCACGGGGGCTCAGCAGCCCCAGTTGCCCCCGTGGTGCCAGCTGCCCGTCCCGGGGCACTCACCCTCCTCAGAGATGCTGTACTTCTGGATGAGCCACTCCACGATGTCATTCCCTGGGGACAGAGGCAGCGTTAGCAGGGTGCAATGGGGTCCCCCAGACCGGGCACAGGGAGGTTCCTGGGCTGGGGCACCCCGGCACGGCTCAGCGGGTGCTGAAGGGGTCACGCAGGGTGACGGGGGCCCTGCCAAGGACATGCTGGGCCGCCCACCCCAGCGAGCGCCCGCCCCGCTCAGCCGATGCATAATTGATCCCAGCTGCAGCGCTGAGCACCCGTGGGTGCAGGGAGGCGAGCGGCGCGGGGTGCCACGGGGCTGGGTGCCGGGTGCAGCGCTGGGGCCACCTGGGGAGCACCCACATGCCTCTCCCACCCCACGCACCTCATGGGGTGCCCCGCCATGGGGACCCACCTGTCATGGCGTGGGGGATAACGGTGATGAGCAGGCGCTGGTTCCTCATCTTGATGCCCATGTCGGGGTCCTGCATGCTGACAATCATCCGCTCCATCTGCCGGGCAAGCGCCCGCCACGCTCAGCCCTCCGGCTGGGGGCACTGGGCCTGGGCACAGCCTGGCTCCCCCCGCCCTGACCCAGGGCACCCTGTGCCCGGCCAGGGGGCAGCCTGGCACCCCGCAGCCGGACCCGGGGCACCCAGCAGCCGGGCAAGCGTGCGATGCCGGAGGTGCGGGCACCCAGCCTCCTGGCATCCCTTGGCCGGGGAGCCTCGGTTTTGGGGTGCGAGCTCTGCCGGGGCTGTGGCAGCACCACGGGCCGGTGGCGGGGGCTGAGCTCGTAGCTCCGGGACGCTGCCCGTGGGTGTCCCCGCGTGGGGCGGTGCCCGGGGCCCCGTGGCGGTGCGGGGCCGGGGTGGTGCCCGCTGTCCCGCGGTACACGGGGCGATGCTGGTACCCGCCCCCCGGCGATGCTGACCCCCGCGCCGCCGGCGGGGGACCGCGC